CTTCCTTTAGGGCGTTCGCGTAGATCGGCTCGTGCTGCATGGGCACAACAAAGGTAGTAGTAAATCTCGTGGTTATCCTCAATGGAGACGTCGTCGTTTATCTGCCTCCTCCCATAACGTTGGGAACCTCCGTTGGAACGGTTTACTGAAAGGCCATTTTCAGCCGTTCAATAAGTAGTGCGATATAAAATTTGATATTTTTATAATGGAACATTAATATCGAATATATACGTTAAACTGGCACAAATATGCTAAGATAATTCTCTTATTTATACAAGAAAATTGCGTTATTTGAATTTATCGGCTAACGTGGTCTCTCATAACTTTGTTACGTCCATACTAATACGATCATGCAGCGTAGAACGATATGCCAAACGCGTCGATGCTCGATGGCAATTCATTTAGTTGACGACGCAAACAAGTTTCGATGTACGCGTCGGGCGGTTTGGACGACGACCTAGGTGATCGATTAGGTCGCTCATTAAACGACGCTGACAACGAGCATGATCGTCCTCCGGCATGACTCCTCGGGGTCGGGATCCGAGGCTGTGGTGTAAGTCATGCAACGAAATCCGTGTACGCTGGCTTAGGCGACAGGCGGTGTCCAGCTGAGAGTCATCGGCGTCGGGTCGGTAGCCGCGTTTTTCATCGTCGTGTCGGAGCCTATTCAAGTGTTGGCAGTTTTTCACGCGGCAGGCGACAAATATCCCCACCAAAATCCCCTTTGGGCTGAGTCCTCACGTGGTCCGGGATGTCATGCCGCGGGTCGCATCCTCGCCGGCACATTCACCGTGCCGATCTCGTCCCGGTGACTACCCGAGTCGCGTGGTGATCCAAGTGATCTTTCGGATCTACGATCTACGATCGTGATCAAGCGCGAGCGTCTCGAAAAGGTCGTTTTCCGCGAGGAGAGAGGTGCAGATTTCGTGCGTCAACGATTCTCCACCGTCGCGTCGTTTCACCGCGCGAAGTGATTTAATTTTCCACTCGCGGTTTGTGCGGGCACACAATTCGATACACCCAACACAGGTGGATCAATGTGATACCATTAGAATTCGGTGCTTCTGTCGATTTAAATGACGATATGAACGATGATTCGCCGCTTTAACAATGCCTGGCTGTTAGATCGGTTTATCAGGAAACAACCGTTGTCGTGACTGGTGACTGTTGGGAACTTCGCGTGTTACGTCAGCGTTACGATTAATGTAACGCTGAGATATCGGGGTAATCCAGGTTAAACCTCGACTCAAAAGCTCACGGACTACGCTTCGATGAGTGTGCGACGGGAATTCATCGTCTGCACGTAATGCCGAAAAGGTATATAGGCTCGGCACGGTCGTGGGCTTTTCCCGCAGAGTCGGTCTCGCGCGACTACGAGTACGACACGCGTCACGACGACGTAACTCGGCACGGTTTTCTCGACGGAATTCCGACGATCATGTAACACACAGTGAGTCGCGTCACGCCGATTTCGAAATTGGACTGTTCGCGTCGATCGGGACGGAAGTGCAATCGAGCCGCGAACCGCGCCAAGTGTCATCGACCTGTCAAATGTATCCCAACGCGTAAACTTACAACCATCGTAGATCGTACTCGCTATTCTACAACGGAAACCGCGAGAATTCGCGGCGAAACGACGTGCTTGACTCGTTATTGCGGCCAGCCGGTCGTAATTCGTACGATTTACAATGCATGGACTGAGATGACACACCGAGGCGGAGACTCGCAGCTATGTCTATGGCGATCGTTGGGTGAGTTACGGCGATTTCATCGCCAACGTTGACATGTCTCGCGTCGTCCTCTGGAACATCCTTCGGATTCCAATCCACAGCCGATGAATAACGGTAACGAAGAGAGTTGGGGAAATAGTTACTTTTATCGCCGATCGTAATTCTTATATTTCCATTGTCTCACCGGATCATCGAGTTAAAACTTCGAGGAACTCTAGAATTTTTAGGATCTCTCATGAAATCGCGCTCATCGTTTATTACATACTTTTCTCGAAGGAAAATGACGAGGAAGCGTGTATTCATGTATCTCTTTCTGCGACTTCTCTTTTTTTTTTTACACTCGGCTATTAACGGATATCGCTACAAGACGTAAGTAACGAACATTAACTGGATGCTGCGTCACGAAATGCGCCAAACGCGGCGCGTGACGCGCGCATGCCGGTCTTGCGTGTCGGAATTTGTCACGGTCGGGTTTCATGACGTTCCGGAATTTCGCGACTCTTCGGAATTCCGTGACTCGGCCACGTGTATACCGCCAACCGCGCAGGGTCCGGCTCGGCGGCGGCGGCGGCGGCGGCGGCGGCGGCGGCGCGTGTGCGCATGCATTCACGCAGTCTCCGTGGTCCATGCGATCGGTATCGATACGCGCGAGCAGTTCCCCTCTTTCTCTTTCTCTCACTATGAAGTAACGGAATTATATCGATTTATTATTCAAATCTCTTGAGACTTTTGATAAACTTAAAAATTTTAGGTAATATTAAAATAAATAACACGAATTGATGGTTAAAATATGATTCGCGCGGTAAGCCAAGAATATCATTCGACGATTAACGCGAGATAGTCTAGGCTGGAATTCTTCGTCCTCGGCACTCTTTCCGTCTTGATGACACGTAAAACATCTCACGGACACATCTCGCGCTCGGACATTTTTCCTCCTTACGTAAGACGTCCCGGGAGATCCGAATGTTAATATATCCCCGCGCCTTTCGACGCCGCACGCCGGCGGTTACCTTCGTCGCGGTACACCGTGTGTATTATCGCATCCGAGGTGATCCACGGCTGTTAATGAAACGGCTGGCAAGAGGTTGTCAGCGGGACGTCGTTGTGACTAAGTTTGCAATTATGTAAACCGGCATCCCGGCGAGTGGAATACTCGTACACCTTGATTTAGAGACGGTGGTCTTCGTCGATGTGAAAATTGAAAAATCGATATTGACGCTGCTGACGTAAATTAGATACTTTGGAATGTGGCACGATATACGTTCTACAAGTGGCTCTCAGTATACAAGAAGCGAGAGTGCCGGATGGCAATCGAGCACACAAACATGATCTATTTACGCAGATTCTTTCTTACATATATAATTTTTTTTTCATTACATATAAACATTATCCCTTTTCAAAGAAAAAAATTTTTCTTAAATCACTATAATTGTTATTATATTGAACGAAGTTAATGTTAATTTGCAATGATATTAATTGCGCACACGATTATACTTTTCTTTAGTTTTCTATCTGTAGACTCGTCTTTTAGATTTCTTTTATTACCTATAGGCGTTTATACAGAAGGATCTCTTACACAAGATTTTTAATAAAAAGGACCTTTAATAAAATATGAATCATTTCTTTATGCGTCCGGCAGCAAATGCCGAATTCAGTTGTGCATCGAGTCGCCGCTGCCGCTGCCGCTGCCGCAGTCGCGCCAATGCAATTAAACCTCGAAACCCGAGTCGACTGCGTGCGCTGTACCGCGCTCCGCGTTACGACCCGATGTATATCGCGCGGAGAGTGCGTGGCATGATGAATGCATGGCAAAGAGCCGTGGCGAAATCTGTATCGCGAACACTTACTTGTGTCTTCCAGTCACAGATTTTCCACGTGAACGGAATAATTCCTATACGTGAGACGGAGATTGCATCAATACACCGGACGAAAAATTAGATCTGATTGGCGTTTAACTGCAACGATCAGGGTCTCGCAAGAGATGCGTCGCGATAGAGGGGAAGACTTGAAGGTTAGCGATGAAAAACCCATAGAAAAGTTTTACCGATAGTTTAGAAATGAAGGACGCCAGTGGCAGTTTCGCGAGGACGCGTTCGACAGAGACAAAGCAAATATTTTAAGTGAATCGGGGCCGCTCAGCGGCATTCCACGCGGTGCACCGAGAGTGCATCGAGAGACGAGGTAGGTGGGATGGGGCGAAGGGAAAGGCACGCTTTGGTCCACCCCGCGGTACCACGAGCCAATAACCCAGTCAAATTAAAGTGAACGAGTAGCGAAAGCTCGTACCGGCGCGGCGCGACCGCGCGGGGCCGCTCGCTTCACCTGTGTTCTGGTAACACGAGATGCACTCGCATTGCGCAACTGCTTGCGGCGGCTCGCCGCATGTAGCTCGTATGTAACTGGGTTATCATTTACAACCTGCGGCGCGCGGCACGCCGCGTCACTGTTCTACGATTCTCCAATGAGCCTTTCCCACATACACACATTGGTAATATCGATGATTTTACGTGTGAACATTCGCATCATTTCTTCGCCGCTGAAAACGGTATAACGTCTGTACATTCAGGGATAGTCCATATTAATTTTTTACATTTTGGAATCTTGTTTTAAAATTTGAACAATATATACACGGAAAGAACAATTTTGCTGAATCCAGATCTGAAAATAATTTTTGTTTAATAATCAAAATAATTTTGTGTCAAAGTGATTGCTAGAATATCAAAATATTTTATAGCAATGCTTATCAGTTTTAACATTCCAACAAATTATTTTGACGATTGAACAAAAAATTATTTTCAGATCTGTTTTTAGCAAAATCTTTAGACCTTTCAACAAAATCGTTTTTTCCGTGTACTATTATTGATATGGTTTAATTATAGAACTGTGAAAAGAGCGATCGTCATTATTTATTCCTATTCTTAAGGATATTTATGTTTTAACAACTGTATAATTTAAGATTTTAGTAAGCATATGATTTATACGCGTACTCGGTGCAATCTATTTGTAACATCTTTTTAGCCCTAATTATCCCGTGTGCAGTTTTGCTTACCGGTTACAACTTATCAAATGCATCTTGTATTTTCAATTTGTGCGATTGGAAATAGTAATGACTATACACTTGCGCCGAGCTTGCTATATAATCATACGAAATTTATTTGCATACGTGATTGCTTAGAATCGCCGCAAATTGGATGAAACGGACTTATTACATATTCCATTCGCGTTCCGGTCGATATTTTTAACTAACTGGTGTATTTTTGTTGTTTCTAGGTTACCACAGCTTGCCGTTTTAGCGAAGATTTTGTGCCTCCTGATGGTGAGTATTTTCAAGTATTCTTTTTGTAATACTTATAGAAATGGTAGCCTCTACTCTATATTTCGAGATACAAATACATACTTTTATACAATATTATAATAAGTGTTAGAGAAAGTTATTAGAGAGGAAATGAGTGACTACGATATCACAGTTAATAATACTATCTTGTTTTGCAATCATGGAGATTTTAAAATATTTATATTATATTTATATTATAAAAATTATCGAGAAATCGAATCGTAAAGGTACGAAAATCCAATACCGGCGCTTTTATCGCGTTACGATCGGTTTGTAATCTTATCTCTTTGAACGCGACCGACATTTGTAGCACGAGTCAATTGCATAAAGGTAATCTGATGATCAGTCGGCCTAGTTTCGCGGACGGTAACGAGTGGCATAGAATTCGTACCGAGCCGCAGTTCCGCTGAAGCCGCAAAATCGCCTACTTCCTAGCTCGCGAATGTATGCAAAAGATATATGACGGGCGGCGATCGCGAGGATGACTGGGTCAGATCTGAGATATCGCCCTGCACGAAGAGGTCGGGAGGATCGCGTGCTGAAACTCGTGCCAAGACTCGAGTAAATCGGCGATTACGGCGGCACGCACCTTACCTGCCATAGATTAATGATCGGCGCTTCCACTCCTACGCGTTTGCAGGCGTACTGACAATTTATATGGCCGGAGAGGCGGCTGCCGGCTTTGAACTCATCTTAACTCATTGCGTCGTACGTTTAATTCCCCGCTGTGGGCGCCGCGAAGCGCTATAAGTTTTGACGTCGCTTGAATTTTTTTACGCGTACCCACGGCGTCGTTTCATTGCGGAACCGTTATAGCTTGCCGTCGCTTTGATTAACTGCGTGCATGATAAATCGAGTCCCTTTCTTCTTCGATTCTCTTCGTTTCTAAACTGTCTGCATGTTGTAACATTTACTTTAACGTACTTTATCTTATCAATTTTTAATTTATGAAATTGTTAATAGATGAACTGATTGCCCATATATGGCTGTTGAGGCCAAAACTAAATTGATCGTTTACTGATTAGTGACGTAAAATTAGATTGTTAAATTACGATCATCTCGATTTTTGATAGCAAAATAATTTCCGTTATTGACAAAATATTTTTCAATCTCGATATCTATCGTACAAAAATAAATCGTTGGATATCGCAGAGATTGGGCTCGCGCATGGTGCGCTCGTTATTTATTATGCTTTTGAAACTGATGGAGATCTATGCTCGACTTCCCAAGACGATAAGGACAATTCGCGCGACAGTCTCATCGCGCGGGGACTCGAATCGTATTTAAATGAGATTTATGTATCCTCGATACCGGTCTCTCTTGAGCGCGGTGCAGTAAACGGGTCCGCTGGTCCAATAAATAATTAAATGGATGGTCGGTTGAATCGCGAGCGATAAATTTAGATGTCGCCGATTGGAGTAACTGCATGGTAAATCGAGACGAGCGTATTCGAGGCTACCGCCTTGACGATACGTCCGCTAGGTGAGAATTTAATGAACAGCCAATATAAAATTACAAAGAGCTATTTGCCGACAATTGTCATTATCCGTTTGCTTCCTTATTGTTTGAAAGTCCTGCCGATTAAATGATAATGCGACTATCACGGTAATGATGCGGATCGAATCAATTAGCGTGTCGGGTTTTTATCGGCGCGGCAGGACGAACGCGATTAAGTATGCTGCACACGCGGCGTTGCAGCGTAGAATTCAATGTTAGAGTTTGTTACGTGCGACAACGTCGTCCCGTCGTAAACAGGGATGTACCGTCGTTTCTACGAGTGTATATGATCTACTTAACTTTGTATGTTAAACGCTATGAGAAACGCGGTGCGCCATTAACTCTATTCGTCTCGTGTGTGGGTTATATACGCAAATACGATCTACCATCTTGTCAGCATTAAAGGCTCGTGTTACAGGATCGTGGAGCTGCAATAAAATCCTGCAACGCGAATTTAATTGCTCTTCCCCATTCGCACGTATGTCTGTTCGTCGCTGTATGCTCATTATACGGCGGTACTACAGCACAGCGGGATTTCCTTGATAAATTCTAAAGTAAACGCGTACAGCATTGATTTTGACACGTAATGCGCGAAAAATGTGGGCAGTTAAGAACAATCAATTTAGAATGTAATATTAACATTTAACTGCAAGGACGCTGCAATTTATCAAATGCAATTAAGATATTCAAAATAATTTTATTGGAAACTAAAAAGTGATCGATTGCTGTACAAGTTCTGATATTCTAGCAACTAATTTGGATGTCTAAACGAAATTATTTTGGTGGCCCAACAAAATTATTTTTTAGAACTGTATTCAGCAAAACTTTTTAGACCTTCCAGCAAAATTGTGTTTTCCGAGGCATACATGCTACGTGGTGTACATAACAAATTCCGTACGAAATTGTAATTTAGGAGAAACGCGTCTACATATCTACGACACATCACCTACGACATCAACTCTTCTAATGTCACGTCTATTATATATGTATAGATTCATGCGTCATTCGACCGTCGTGCCATGACCGCTCGATCGTAGTAAGCTTTCTATTTCGATGTTTGCCGGACTAACGCGCGTTGCACCGGCTATCGTAACATTGTCGGCGCCACTTTTGATATAAACGAAACGCCAGTTTCGGCGACTATTAATGGATGGCTCGTGTCCGCTCGTTAACGAGCTCTCTGCCATCAGCATGCACCATCTCCGGGCGGCCAGCATGACGACTCTCCGTCTTCGTCGGACACGGCGCATTTTTATCCGCCGCGCATCCACCGCGGGAGAGGATCCGCGCGGGCGGATCAGCGAATGACTCGATGTCGTGATATGTGAATCGACCGTAAAAGCGTTCTTCTCGGCGGCCGAGGAAGAATTTCGACGTACTTAACGACTTTCAGTTCGGTCGTTGTTCTGAAAACACGTCACGCGAATTCTTAACCCCGTCCAGCTCTGCCGTTACATTCGACGAAAGATAAACTATCAGATGATTCGCGACGGATAATATAAAGCGCGATTCTAACGACTTTGGACCGAGTTGTCCCGTTTATTCTTTCACACGTATTTTTGTCACCATTTGAATAATTAATTAAATATCGTAAATATAATAATTTTCCTGAAGAAATGTTCCATTGTAAGATGGACGTCTTGAACATTTTTATAAATTTTGAATTCTTTTATAAATCGTAAAATACGCGCCATTGATTTGATTTCGGGTACATTAAGGGCACTGAGATCTAATCCATTTGCTAATTAGTCTCAATTTGCGATTCATTTAAAGAGCATTATTATTTGAGCATTTTATATGAATCAACTTGGGGCGAAGTGACAATTTCTCTGTTTGAGTAGCGCGATATCCAAAACATCGTGGAATACACGCGCGGCTCTTGTAATTGCAGGTGGTGATGTGCGGGGCGGTGCCGGCGATGGTGCGCTCCGTGAGTCTCTACTCGACTTGCAGCAGCGGCAATGTTACCGTAATAGGCCGCTCGATCAAAGCCATGGGACGCGACGATCACAATGCACCCTACCGTAAGTAAGACCGCAAATTCATTATGTCCCACTTGTTGCTAATATAATTTACATGTGACATAACATTTTTTTTTTAACGAAAAAAATTATTTTTTTACCGTTGTAACACTATGTTAATTTTTTTTCGAAATATTTTCCAAATTTTGCGCAAATCAAGATATTTTTGTATTATATGCTTCATAATTTTTTGTACGAATCTATTAAAAGAAGTTTTCTCTTATCGCAACTCTAAAATTTGCGAATTTAGCTTAGAATAATTGATAACATTTATTGATTATTGCTTCAATGAAATTTAATGATTATTGTTAATTGATAATTAAACTTATAATATTTTATGTTTGGCAAATGGTTTACATATTAATTATTTCCAAAATGAAAGAGATATTGTGACACGCATAATATAATAACACCGTCTGGAATGCGATAATCAAATTTGTTAATTGAATTGATTTTTCAGTCAGCATTTCTTTATCGCTCTAATGTGTAATTTTGTACATAAGAAAGGGATTGTTCCGTATCCGGGGATACGATGCACTAAAGAACTTTAATTTACTGTGATTCTTATCGATTGACCTCGGTCGGGAACCTTATCTCTCTCGTTTTCGCTATCGAATGTCTCCACGGAGTCTTCCGAGGTGAATTTCCATTTTTACGAACTAATAACTGCAGTCCTATTTCCGGCGAACAGTGCGCCGGACGCACAAACGTCGGGGAAGAAACGAAAGGAGTAAAAGAGGACGGCCACCACGAGGAGTCTCGATGAATTACGACGTAATTTTACCCCGTCTTGATTGTTTTCGGCTAGACACTCTCGTCGTTTGTTTCATCGCATTAATTTTGCCTCATTTCTATTTGTTGGAATCAGCTTTACGAGCAGATTATTCAGAAATAAAAGAATTTAGCTTTATTTTCTGAAAAGTTGTTAGAAAATCTTTAACAATAGAAAAAAAATTGCTGTTGCCACAACCTAATAATTGTGATAATTTTCGCCCATCAATTTAGAAGAGTTATAGGAACTAAAATACTTTGGAAGTGATTTATATAGTTAACTGAACTCTCAGCCTCAATGTTGTGACGTGCAACTATATCATATATATCTCTCAATCATA